AATACATAGGAAACCTCATGATAATCAAAACTATCTTGTTTAGAGATACTCTTTAGAGTATTTGAGAACTGAAGATCATTTTGCCTCACATATTTTGTATCCTAGGAAGTTGAAATACTACCCATTACCTAATATTGAGATAATGCTCATATCTTAATCAAATAAGACTTTCAGAAATTATTCTAAGACATCAACCAGAAAAAAAGGACCACCAATTTGCTAGCTAATATTTGCCAGTGGATCATCTTCCTTGCAGTTAAATGTTTCTGCCTAATTTCTGTTTTGAATGTATCTGGTTCTTGTCACAACTTTTTCAGGAAAATTAAATAAGTCTGTGGGAATCCAGAGCTTCCCTCTGGCTGCCCTGGAAGGCCTGGAACCCTAGCAGGGGGTCAGGAACCCCCTTGTATAGAGCCCCGAGAGACACTGTCTCTGATCTCTGTCCATGGAAAAGTTTTCAATCTCACAGGATGAATTACAAGCTCTGAGTGTTTGATATAAGTAATAATTAAGTGTGGCACGGGTGCAAAAGTAAAATTTTAGGATTCTAGAATAGGGGTCCAAATGGGACAAGATGGAGGAAATTGAGCGTGTCTTGTCCTTTTTCTTCTTCTTCATAACCCTCCATGTTTCACTGCAGTGTTGGCATTTTTCTATTGGTTTAGGCTGGGGACACACTGTTCAACATAGATGATAGATATTGGCACATTATTGTAAATATAGCACAGGTAGTTTCTGGTATATGTTTGTAACATCCCACTGAGGGGCAGAGCCCCACACGCTGCCCTGCAGCACAGACCTGTGGCAGGGCAGCAGAACATGTTAGAGATAAGCAAGAATAAACAACCTTGAAAACCAGCACAGACGAATTATGACTTCTTCTTTGGCAATGGGGCAGATAGAGATTTTCTACAATCTCGGAATCATCAATTCCACAGATTTTGACAGAAGTCCTTATTCCCTAGTTTTTTCTCCCCACAAAGGTACTTACGCAATGCTATCAGACTGCCCCTCTAATCATCTTCTTGATATGCTAAAGAAATTCAGTTCTCTGGTGTGTATTCTAACTGTGGTCTCCATTCTTTGGGTTCCCCTCACTGTACTACCTACCTGTTTCCATCTTTGCAAAATGCCTTAAATAGTAAGGAAACATTGCTATCAAAGATTTATTATACCCATTCTTGTAAATGTAAACAATATTATTATGTTGATCATAACATAAATGTGGTAGTAACAATTTCATCTTTAAATATTTATTTTGGATATAAAAAAATATAGCCCTGATTCTAATTTATATTATTATTATTAAGAAAAGTGACTATACAATATATGTAAACCAAACCCACACTTTTCCACTAAGTGGTAATTACATGGTACTGAATATTTCTCAGGTAATAATTATGTAATTACTATGGTATTCCGTATATAAAAATCATATTAAGTTGTTTTTGACACTGCATCAATCTTTATAATAAGCATGTATGAGAGCTTTAGGTAGGGGGTTAAAATAATTTTTATTTTCTCTTTTTTCTTTCTCTTCTTCTCTTCTTGTTCATGTTAAATGTTCCCTATTATTTCTAACAACACATAATGACTACTTTGGTACCATTGTGGTCTGTAGAGAGATATGTAATATAAACTTTATACTATAAAATAATTTATTATTATTATATAATAAAAAAAATTAAAATTATATAAAGTAAATATTTAACACCAAAATTTGAAGATCAAATTATCTGGTTCTGATGTTTGTTTAAGCATCCACTGTTTAAGTTTGTTTGGATTTCTTTTACTTTTCTTATAGAATTATCTTTAGTTTACAAAATATAGCTAGAAAAAAAATTATAAAAACATTCTTCAGATTTTAAAACATTTACTTCTTTTCAAATTGATAGAATATAGACAGTCTCATTACTTATTTTGTATTTAGGAACCTTACAACTCAGTTTCCTTAACTGGGAGATATATAGACACAAGTAAAAATAAATTATCATGGTTTTGTTAGTTCCTTTGGGTTTATATCATTATCTGTACCTGTTAAAAATATAAAATCCTATGTCTTTGATAATTGTTATTTTTCTGCAGTGCATTTGCTGATTCAAAATAATATTCACATGCATTATGGTTATCTCCAAATTGCATTCAAAGATGAATTATTATCTTAGATCCTCTTAAGATCAACACCAAAAATATACAATTGAAAGGAATCTGAAAGTAATATTTCACAAATATCTAATCAGACCAAGTTTCTATTATGATGTGAAGCTGTTTTCCTTCCCCTTCCAGCAAGTGTTGAATATCTATCCTTCAGTAGAAAGTTTTGAAGCATCTAGGATCTTTATCCAGAACATTATATTTTTAAATATTTTTGTTCTATAAATTATGAAAGGAATACCAATATTAAAAAATGTATTAAATTAAAAAATGTATTTAAGTGTGTTTTTCTCCCAAGTTTATTTGTGCTCAACTGACATTTTTTACAGAAAACCTTTTAACATGCAACAATTCCATTAGTGATATTTTTATTAAATACCAGTCTCAAGCAACATTTTGAAACATTGCTAGCTTGTATAAGAAGAATAATTCAAAGCACATTCTACAATAGAGGAGTGCTGCAGCTTTCTGAAGGAAAAGTAGGAGGAATTTATTAGTGTGGACCTAAAGAAAATGTATTTTTGGGACCTCTGCTCAGATACAGCTCATCTTTATGGAAAAAAACAAGAAGATCAGTAATGTGTGAATCTGTGTGTGTGGATAGCTTCAACTCATGTGTAGGTGCCTGCCATAAGCATTGGCGCATAAGTTGTTGATATTGGTCAAAATTTTGACTAAACTAAAACCAGGGTCAGCAAGATTCAGCAAGAATCAAAGAATTTTGCTAATGTATCTGGTTGCTCTGTACCCCTAAATTTGCCTAGTCAGTCAGTGAGCTAATCATCCTGCAGAATTCAGTTTGAAAGGGTTATTTCTAAGCAAAGGGGTATTGTGGACAATTATAATTCATGTTTTGGTGGCCCTGGAGTGTACGTCTGCCTGATTAGCGAGTGGCTGCCTGGCCAGCCTCTGCTCGGCTGGGGGGAAAGGCCACCCCCACGGGCAGAAGCTGCAGAAAGCACACGAGGGCTCAGGTGGGGTGGGCAGAGGATGGATGCAGTTGTTAGGCAGCAACACATCTGAGGGGAACATGTATAGAGGGCTTTGTCTATTGTGCTGCCTTTTCAGGCTGAGTCGATAATGCCAGTGTCGGTTTCAAGCGAAGCGTGTGCCAGATTACAGATAGCCAGCAATGGCATTTGAGAGCCGTTAATTGTGAAACTTGAGAGGAAAATGTGCACATTCTTTTTCAGAGTGCTATTCGAATTATGGGCTTTGTATCCCAGAACACTGTGGGTTTCACTTTTATTCTCTTCCCACATAAAACGCATGAAGTGCACTGAGTCTCTTTCATTTGGCAGCTTATATATTGCATTCTTTGCAGGGATTGCTTTGGCTTGTTAAAATGTACCCCATGTATTAAAATGAAATTGTCACTGCTGTGTGGTGCAACATAACATGATTTGACACCAAGTGCCTGCAGCTACAGAAAACAGACTTTTATTGCATTTATTCTTTCAGAGACAAGAGTCTCTAAAGGCTCAGCGCAGACATTCGCTTAGTTAAATCTGAATGAAGCCAAAGCGAACAATCTAAGTCACTGTCTTTGTGCTTGTAGAAATAGCCCAGCCCACTTGATACACAGTGATACCACCTGGAAGGGGAAAGTTTTAATTTCATCTGAAACAATTGGACAATAGACTGACTTCCTCAAAGAATTAAATGTGAAAGCAGGATTTTTAGAGGGTTTTTTGGGGTTTTCTTTTTGTTGTTGTTTGTTTGGGTTTTTTTGTGGTGGGTGTGGTTTTTTGGACTCTGTCAAAATTGCATCCTGGGAGACAAACTGCTGTTGTATGTGAACCACTCTTTCCCCAAACTGTGTGACAAGGATAGTGGACAAATTCATTTTAAAACGATCTAGACAGGTGAGAAGTAAGCAATATATATGTCAGCAGAGTTATTTTGTGGAGAATACCTGGAGACATGTACTAGTGTATTGAAGGAGCATTGAACATCGTTTTTAAACGCAACTTTTCTAGGATATTACTAGCTTTCTTTTTCTCTCTTTCCTCTTTTCAAAGTTTCTAAACCCCCTCAGGAGCAAGGTTACCTCTTTTTCTGGACTTTTATGCAGTTAATTTAGAAGATCTGAAGCAATACTGAGTTCCCAAAAGTCGTATAACTATGGTTTGGGATTTGACTAGCAACATTGTATACCTAACCATTCTCCAGAAATACATTTACCAATTCAATGTTAAAGCTTTAATGACTCAATGCTCAAAGTTATTCTGAATTCATAGAGGATGAACAGCAAGGCATTTCCTCTGCTACACATAAATTACTGTCTTCACCCAGCACTCAGCTTTATGTTGTGATAGTCATTGTCTTTGCTTTTACTATAAAACCTGTCTTTGCAGGTTGTTTTCTTAACATTGTAATACTTAATAATAATGTTGTTTAATCCTCTGTATTCTTCTTTAAATCCTGCAATTCATTTCTTTAAGCCACTTGAAGTTATTTTGGGTGCACAAGGAGCCTAGAAACGTGTCCATTGCTTTCCCAAGCAGCACGTGAGAGCATGAAGGATGTCCTTGTTCAGGGTGATGCCCTGGAGCCAGAAGGGGACTGTACCCTGACAGGGCTGTGGCTCAAACACAGCTGGGAGTGCAGCTGCAGGTGGGGAGGGTGGCAGGTCCCCCTCAGGAGCCACACTCTGTCCTAATGGGCTCAGCCAGTTTCTCTGCAAAAATCAGCAACAACAGCTTTGAAGGTTTCTCTCAGCATCTGTGCTTGTCCTTTTTTTCTCCTTCTGCTTTTTGTTTTTTTTTTTGCTGACTGAGTGCTTCCGTAACAGTCTAGTAACACATTTTGCCTCTACCCATATCCCACTCTCTTCTCTTTTCCAGAATGGAGTCTACAGAAAAATGTGAAGTAGTAATTCAACATTTTAATGGCAAATATCTGAAAACCCCACCTGGTCTACCAGGTAAGTCTAGCCATCATTGTGAAATTTAAAATTCACTGAAGAGTTTAGAATACAGAAATACTGGAATTTATCTCAAGAGTGTCCTACATTACTGCCCCTGCTAAGACGGCATATAACTTCCCTGGCTAAATCCTGTCTTTTATGACCCACAGCAACATTTCCTTACCCAGGTTTGTATGTTTTAAGCATTTGTGCTTGACAGCAGCGAATTTAAGAACATATAAAATTCATGTTGTCTCATTGTGTTTTTTCCTTTTGAGTGTTGTTTTTTTGGTTGTTTTTTTTGTTTGTTTGTTTTGTTTTGGTTTTGTTTTTGTTTGGTTTGGTTTGGGTTTTTTTTCCCTCCAGTTAGCATAGAGGCCACATAACTAAATGCCAATGATTTTCTAACAAACCAGAAATATAATTTATATAACAATATAAGCCTAGCAGCTTCATTATCAATTACTAAATATCCAGGATTTCAAGCTGTAGCAGCTTTATATTCATCACAGTTACCACTCAGTATTGCTAGCTACCAGTATTAACAGCAGTAGCTATTAACACTGAGGATGTTTCAAATATTATTTTATATCATTTTTTCTTGCCATAACTTAATGAAGTCCTGACACTTTTTCACAATACCCTTAGAACACATTCACTGGTGTGTCCGTGTCACATTGAAAGCCAAGTTCCATCTATTATTTTGCCTTTCAAATCCTTAGCTATCATCCGTGTGTTCGTCAGCTATGCAAAGTGTAGTGATCAGTTGCTTGATATTTACTGCTTGACAAGACCTCTCCAAGGCTACAAATTTGAAAGAATTTCTCCTCTGGGTTTTCTGAAGGGCTGCATTAAATGAGCAAGAAATTCTTGCAAGAATTGTGTCCTAAATTGTTATCTCCCCCTTTTTTTTCTCCCCTAGCCTCCTCTAAACTATTTCCTTTTTTGGTTACTTTCATTAAATTTTTTCTTATTCATTGCCTGGTTCTTTATGTAGAAGATGTACTAAATACTCTACTTAAAAGAAAGCCATCTGCACAGCTACAGTGTACAGTAATTGAGTGCTGCAATGTACATTTAAATTTTAGTCAGATCACCTTCATGAAAGAAGATAAAGCTTTTAGTACAGGCTGCAAGACTCCATATCAAGACTGCTTTTTCAAAAGTAACCGCTGACAATTTTTCTCAGCACCAGCTAGTGAATTACACCACCAGCTTTGTCAAGTACAACAAACTTGGGTTGCGTAGAGCAATGGGCTGAGCAGCATAGGCAGAGAACTTGAACCTTTGGCTTGCCTTTCTGTATGCACACTTTGAATCCCAGCAGTAATCTGTTTAATATCATAGCAACACCCAATGGAAAGAGTGTGAATAGCAAGGAGTTGGTAAGGCTGGCTTTGTCAGTATAAGCCTGTGGTCACATTCCCAGTTGTCTCAGAGAGGACACATCAGTAAACCCAGTTTTAAAATAGAATATTCTTACAAAGCCTGCTTGAGACAAAAAGCTACATGGTAAAGAATGAAAACTATAAAATGAAAATAATTTTCTTTTTTCTTCTTTTTTAAAATTTTTAAATAATCAGAAATGTACTGGGTATTCAACATGAACAATGTTGTACATCAAAACAGGGGTCTTGATAAGACAGCATGGTTATTTATTTCTTGTTATCTCTTATTTCAAGAGATACACTGAAATTGAATGTTAATGGCTATAATTTTTGATGCTTTCTTAAAGGATATGAATCAGTTCTTAGTTTCCTGAGGAAAAAAAGATGTCCATGTGAAAAGATTGTATACTCTGGTCCTCTCATGATTGTTGTTGTCAGATGGCATTTAGTTGCAAGGATTATTTGGGAAGTGACTATATTAAGGGTTTTAATTTACCTGATTATCTGTTCAGATGCAGATATAGCATAATGCAGCTTCGGAAAAAGTCACTGAACCATTAACTGAACTCACTCAACTATTCACAAGGTATCTGTAAGATCTCATTTTGTGCTTGAGTTGTGGGAGGCAGATTTTCTATCTCTGAACCCAGATAGTTAGAACTTGTCATAGCGTATTTGGTCCACATAAAAGAGGCTGTTTGTGCCTTGTTATTAGAGTAGAGCACTCTTTAAATTCATAATTAAAATACTTGTTGTATTCATTCCTCTTCTTCTTAAGCAGCAAGAGAACACACATAACCACCTTGGCAGTGGGGTCGATTCAAGGGATCATTTACAAAAAATATGCAAAAAATTATTCACTCTTACTTTCTTCTTGTAGATTCCTGTTAAGGCTTGTACTCACTTTCTACATCTGTGGTATGAACCTGTATTTAAGCCTCTCAGCAAAAATAGAAGTGTCTTGCATGAAGCAGGAAGGAAAATCAAGTCTCTTACTGTACTTGGAAAATCACAATTATAGTGTGTAAAGGATCCTCCCAGCATCTCAGTAATTGGCATAGAAGGAGAATCATCTGTAGTTTATTGCTGTGACCTCTTTACGGAGATCAGTTTAAAAACAAAGAACCAGAGAACATTAACAGAAATATGCAACGCTATCTATTGCTAACCTCTGCTGCTCAAAGGCCTGATCTTAATGAGAGTGAAAATGGATCAATACTTTTAGGGTTAAATTACATTGATTTTGGATTTTCAAATGGATTTCTTTCAGATGCAGCAGTGAACTGAAAGAGTTTTTTGCATTTTTGTCCACATCTCTCATCTAAGCTCTAACGTTCTGGTTCAGATTTACCAGCTAATAGAAGGTTGCATGAGGTCCTTCAAGACAGAAATCAACCTGGGTGTTGGCCATATGCTACTGGCCTGAGGCAGTGGGATTATGGACCAGACAAATCATTTTGGCAGCTCTTCTCCATCCCTGCTATTATCCCCTTCTGGGTTCCCTGAGATGTGATCCTGGTGATGTGTCACCATACATTCTGTGGGACATATGTTTGTGAGATTAGCATGTTTAGAGGATAAAATGCTCATAGTGCTGCGGGGGCAGTTTTGCCTGGTTACCCAGTCATGATGGAAGATCTGGAGTAGGTAACTTTCACGTGATGTTGAACAACCCATTAGAAAGACTGAGCACCATAGCTCTGGCTTTCATGCCAGAATAAAGTTATACCTTACCTGACTTAGTTATACCTTCCCAAAGAGCTATCACAAACATTAATTTTGAATACAGAGCTCTTTTTCAACTAGTTTTTTTTCCTTGGCAAGTGAGATGTTCATTCAATTGAATTTTTTAAATGTGGTTTTTGTTGTTGTTGGGTTTCGGGTTTTTTTTATTGTTCTTGTAAGTTAGAAAAAAGTTACAAGAGAATAAGTGCCGTGTACCTGGATGTTTGAGCCTAGCCAAGAGTCACACATCTAAGCTAGCTCAGGCCAACAATGCAGCAGGAAAGCAGTGTTCAACTGGAAGGAAAGGAGGGCATCCAGGGCACTTTGGAGGCTCTGTCCTCTGTACCTTCTGAAGGCAAGATATCTGTCCTTCTTTGACTTTATAACTTCAGTCACTGTCTGTTGTTTCTTAAAAATTGTAGAACTGAGCACTTGTATCTCCAGACCCTTCTGCTTCAACCCAGTCACAATGTAAAGGTAACTTTCTGTCTCTTGAAACATTTTGATGGGCAGTTGTATAGTGACTAAGTAAATTGAGCATCCCTGTGTCTGTGTTAGTGAATCATTCTCGTTAAGTGTTCTTCTCCCTACAACTCCTTGGCTTCATTCCATTCCAGAAGTAATTGCTCCACTCTCTTGCTAGCTTAACTAATAAGCATTTTATGATATTCAGTCTTAGATTTACTGTACAAAATAATTGGTTGTTCCATAAATAATTAGTTAATGTCTTCGCATTTCTTTCAGATTGAGAGAGTACAGTCATCTCCAGAAATCTGCAGAATCTCAATTCTTGGCAGATTCCATGTCAACTTCATAAATATTCTGAGTGTCTTTGAGTGATTATTATTTTAGTGGGTCTTATTTGTAAGAGGTTTTTTTGTTTTCCCTTTATTAGCACTGCTTTCCTGAGATAAATAGACCTACACAGCCTAGTGGGTATGTTTTCATCCTATAGAGAATTCAGCCTCATGGGAAACTAATGGTATAGGCCCTGTGTGGCCACGCTGAAAGTTAGCAAATGAATCCGGTATTGCTCTACATCTCCATCGAGATGTGAAGAGCACTACTAATAATGCAGGTAGCTCTCTCTCAGTCTTTCTGTGCTGCATATATTTTTGATGGTGAATAGGAGACTTCATATGAAATCCTGCTAATTTTTGACATTTTGCAATCACTGGATTAAATTAAAAATTCCTAGCTTGTCTCTCAGTGACAAATTGGCTTCTGTTTGAATGGGCAAGTTTAGGGTATGATATTGACACGGTTTTTGGTTTTGTCCTGGTATCCTTGGATGTTTTTAAATAACTAAATTTTCTCTTTCTCAATGAATGCAAAAATTTACCAAGTTCTTACTTTTTTCGGGAATTTCACAGGAACAAGACTCAATTGCAGTAATTGTCCTCTGATATGTCCATTATACTCCATCACAGCATTTTCTAGTTGTTATAGTACTTCCTAAATTTCATTTGAATTGTCAGAGGACATTGGGCCAGTCACTTTCTCAGAGAAAATTTAAAGCAAGTGAGACACATGAATGCTACATTAGATGGTCAATAATCTTCCTTTTCTTATTGCTAATTTAATTACAGATATCTGACAAAAAGAAAGAAGAGGGAATTATTATCCTTGTGGACATTAAGAACCCCACAAGTAACACATGATCACATCATTTTTATACTGACTTTTACTAGAGTAAAACTTCTTAAATAGAAACAAATTATATGTGCAACAATACATTTATTTGAAAATATCTCATATCTTGCTTTAATCATTACTTCTTATTTTTTCTTCTTGAGACTGTTCCAAGCACTGCATTTTTATTGACTCATTTCATCAAAATCAATTTATATTTTCTGCCTCTCTCCTTAGTTTAAATATTTCTCTTAGGAAATCTCTCAGGTTCTT